GTTTCGATCCATTCTGAGGTCGGTACGTGGGGTGGCATTTTTGGAGCATCGTTTGGCTTGCTCAGTATTGGATTTGGCTTGTTCGAGGTTGTAACACTTCTAAACATGGAGTTAAGGGTATGAACCATGATTATATGTGTTATGTGATTTGTTTAGAGGTGACGCACATGCTAAGTGACGAGCATGTGGGCGTGCACCGTAGTAATTGTGACTTAATCGATTCCGTAAAGCTGTATAGTCAATTAACTTGTATTTTCCATGTGTTAGAGAAACTGAGATGTGACTCATGCTTAGGAATATGTTGGTATTATTGAGACCCACTGAGGTCGTTTCTGTTGTTGAATTATATGTTAAAATTGAAATTTTGTACTCAGTCATATTTATTCATTGCATATCATATCTCAGTCTCTGTTGCTATTTTTCGATGCATCATATCATCATTTTTGGGCTAATTTCATGACTTTCTGCCCGAGAGACTGGAGAGGTTGATGACTGAGTGAGGCCGAGGGCTTGATTGTGAGTCATATTTATGGGATTGGGCTGCACGTCGCAGCATGTTTTATTTACTAATGCATGGATCTAGCTTATTATAACGCTTGGACTGAAGGAGCCCCCTCCGGAGTCTGTACAGCCCCAGTGAGCGCAGTTGACATTATTATTGAGGGATGGATCTTCCCTGGACATGGATCTTGCCCGAGTCATTTATATTTCGGGATGGATTTTCCCTAGGCTAGATGGCCTTATACGGCACTGAGTAACTGACTGTCGGTTGATATATATATATGGGATGGATCTTCTATGTGCTGGATTGGCCATATACAGTACTACACATGAGGTTTTATTTATATTTGGTTGGGCTGGATCTGCCCTGTACAATACTGAGTATTGACATGAGTGAGAGAGAGAGAGACCATGAGATTGAGTACTCTGAGAGTATGAGTACATGAGTTCATCACTTAGATGCATTATGTTTGGCGTGTGTATTTGAGATATAGGCATAGAGATGCATTTCCTCATGCTAACCGGTTTTGGCAACATACATAATTTCACCTGCATAGTGACATGTAGGCATAGAGATGTACTTTCCTCATGCTATCTGAAAAATAAAACATCTTATTTATTGTTGAAAGGATTTTGGGAAAAATTATAGTTTTTGAACTTATTCTTATGTTTTTGGTGCTTCGGTGGAAGATTTGGGACTTACTGTTATACTTGAAAAGTATGCCTACTTTCCGTAACTGTGAACGAGCTAAGCATCTTATCCCTGAGTTATTTTCTTGTATCATTCTTATTATATTGTTATGAACTGTGGCTGGTTATTGGAGTTGGACCCTGACCCATGTTCTAGCTCGTCACTACTTTCAACCTAAGGTTAGGTTTGTTACTTATTGAGTACACGGGGTCGGTTGTACTCATACTACACTTCTGCACCTTGTGTGCATATGTTGGATGCTAATGTTGCTGAGTACGGAGAGAGCTAGATTTGAATATGCACCTGCGTTCCAGTCATAGCTGTCTCTTGATCTTGGTAGCTTTAGAATTTTAATCTGTTCATGTATGTTTCAAACAGAGGATGTACTTTATTTCATACCAACTTGTAAATTCAAAAATCTTAGAAGCTCATGATTCGTACTACCAGTCCTTGGGAAATTCTGTGTATAAAAACAGATGTATTATCATTTCTTCTCTCAATAAATCTCATTAAATTGGATAATTGTTAATTGGTTTACCTAGCGCGTTGGGTTAGGTGCCATCACGACTAGTTGGATTTCGAGTCGTGACACCTAACCCCTTCCGTTTGCGTTGTTGGAAGTGCCTGATTATGCCTGGTTCAATTTCTTCATGACTTGATCCTACCTTGAGAGGTGGGCCATGATGGCTTTCTACTGCTCTCTTGGGATCCTTACTGTTTCCGCATCGTGCTCATCCTCTGCGCCATCGAGAGTTGGCTCCCGTACATGTCGGGGGTGTACTGTCCTCCCTGGACCGGAGTTGCCTTGCCCCCCTCATTGTGGGTATCACTGATTGAATCCTCATGTTGAAACAGATTTTCATGTGCCTTAACATTGTGTGCGATGTTGACATCGTTAGCTGCCATTTTTCGATTTCTTTCTAAGGAACAAAGAATCAGACAAGTTAGTAATAAATGCAAGAATCAACTCAATTACGCAACTGTTTAAGCCCCACGGTGGGCGCCAAACTGTTTACTCGTAAAACGATATATTTGAATTTGTTTCGTGGTTTATAGACAAGCAAACTAATTTGATGCAAAAATGATAAATAAAGTAGATGAGAAACAAGATTTAGTGGTTAACATCAAAAGAAATGACAATCCTGGCTTTGGGAGCAATGCCTCTGAGGACGGAAATAAGAACAGTGTAAAACGATAAAGAAAGTTATTTGATTGAGCTTGAGAATAGAATGTGGCATAAGCTTTGGCAAGAATTTAGTCTTTTACAATGGCTGTTAAGCCTACTATTTATAGCTATACCTAGGGAAACAAGATCCTAGGATCAAGCCTTTCTCAAATGACAATAAATGGGCCACTGATGAATATATAACGGTAGGCCATGAATGCAAACGTTCTCTGCAACGGCTCCCCATTTAATGCAAAGAAATATTCTTCATTGAATGTTGTCCGATGGCAATCATTCGATCTACCCACGTTGACCATGTTCCCTTCAGGGCATATTCGATGCCAAAATCAGTTGTTGTTCCCGGTACTGGTTGTTACTCGATTTACCTTCTACCTGTCTTCGGTTCCACTTATCACGCCATCATTCAATCATTTATAATATAAATCAGTTTTATCCTATACAAACTTGCTATGCACTGCATAAAGTTTTGTATTGCCATTAAGAAAAGGTTGGGTTATATAATGCCAATTCTGTACGGCAATTACGTGTTTAATTCACTTTTAGCCGTAAATATAGTCAACTTGTAGTTACTCAAAGACTACTAGTAGGATTCTTAGACTCCAATTGAACTGGGATGAACGTTAATCCAACAACCTATTATACTTGCGAAGCCTTCCTTTTCTTTAAAATAAATGTCTTTTGACATGTCTGCTAATGTTATCAGCAGCTCTTCAAAAGTAAATTAAATTCGGACTTCGATTATATCTTCTTAAAATATATTGCCATAAGTTCTTGATAATATTCAATATGGCTCCATCCTAGTAACGTAGTCAGAAATTTTGCTAAGAATATTCAAATTTTACAGAAACAAAATTGTTCAAAAAATTTCACACGGGTGCACCAATTAAAAACTTTCGATAAATTTCCTTCTTGTTAGTTCGACAATCATTTACAAGTATCCTGTCGTCCGTAGACTATAAAGTAAAACCAACATTTCTTACAAAAGAGGAGGAGATAAAAACCAGTCGAGCTTAAACAGATGAAAAACAGGAAAGATCTAATTCCACTCATTTGAACATAATAAATGTTATAAATTTCCATATTCTACATCAAAAGAATGTGTAGCCATTCACTTGTTCAATTTTTTGGTTCCCATCGCACCCGATACTCAGTTTTGGGATTCTATTAATTTGCGTCACGTAAAATTCACTGAAGAAGACGTGCTTCTTACGTGCGTAAGACACGTGTTGTTTATTGACTTTAATGATAATAATGTTGATGCCCCCAGATGCAGAGTTATTCTATACTCCTTTTAGATCAATAGACACATAGGTTTTATCGAAGTAAAATAAATGTGAATAAATTTGTCAAATGGAAGACATTTTAAAGTACAAAATAATACAGGAAAATATAGATAAGTTTGAAACTTTCTTTGTCGATGTAGCATAATATAACTCAGAATTTAGGTAAGGAGGGTATAACGTAGAAGATGACACCACATAACTTTGGAAGGAGGGATAGGTACTTGTTAGAGTACGTAAGGAAATTACTTATGCTTTCAATATTAGCTACAGGTAAATGGACATATCAAAAAGCAAAGCAGAAAATTTACTCCTTTTTTCTTTTTCTTTTTTTTTTTTTTTAAAAATAATTTTCCATCTAATGTTGGGTATGCATATAGGGATCCGGATTAAGCTGGATTCACATTGCATAACGCCATTTAAAGGAGAAAGGGCTTTTTACTAGAATTTTCTTCATTTTGAGGCTCTAATCCTTAACCTCTTATGAAGGATAGAGTCCTATCAATCCCACCACTACCAGATGGTACATGAAATTACTGTCTAAATTGGCTGACCTGTTTCTATCTTCCCAAACAAGTTGGATCCTCTCAATGTAAAGCCACATGGGTGGGTTCCATTAATGTCCATCAATTAATTGAACTTCTTAAAATTTTGACCTTGACTCTTAGAAGTTTTTGACATAGCAACCACTTTAAATGATTTAATACATATTATTGCTTCTGTAATTATGTCTACCCGATCAGTTCATATGATTGAATTATCCTTATGTTTATTTGCACGCAATATTAATTTATAGTTAAGAAATATTTGTTCATTGTTAAATTATGATTTGGCCATTAAAAAGGAATTATTAATGATTCGACCTGTGACTTCTAAACTTTACCATCGTCTTTTAATGCCTGTAGTTGAATGAAGTATAATCAAGTCTTGTGTCAAACTAGCTAGAGATTAGATTCATTTCATTTAGACCCTCCAACTTTTTCATAATTGTATTATTACTTTCTCTAATCTTAGTAATTATAAAACTAGTCCTTATATATATATATATATATATATATATATATATATATATATATATATATATATTTCAATCTGATCACTTTGCCAAAAAAATCTCTACAAATATGATATAAAAAATACACGCTGCTAACACAAAAATTGGTGTACACTATTGGTATAGTCAAATATGAACCTCTTAACGTGAATTTGAAATTGACAAAGCAAGAGAAGTGAAATCATGAATCTCAAATATGAGGTAAATCTACAATTTTTAGGTACTTCTATAAATAGTCAAACGTTGAACTCCTCGTTACAAAATAAAGAAATAAAATAATATAAACTTTATTGATTTTGTCCTTGAAGCTTAGATTGGTTGATTGTTCATGAATCATAATACACGGAAATGAAGCCTATAAACTCAACTAGCATCAACCTTACCAAACAGATCCTTAACAAATTTATCTTCATTTTACCAATTAGGCCATGGCATATCAAGTTGAATTAATAGCCACAGCCACAACTACAGTAGCCGTCTTCATAATTTGCAGCATTAAATTCCGGTGGTTCTGCCGTGACGACCACCGCCTACCGCCACCGTTCACCGTGGCGGACAATGGAGGCGAGGCACATTACTACTGTGCCGTCTGCCTCCACGACGTGCATTGCGGCGAGAAGTGCCGGAAACTGCCGAAATGCGGCCACGTTTTTCACGTTAATTGTGTTGATATTTGGTTACAGTCTCATTGGACGTGTCCTCTTTGTAGAAGGAAAGTCTCCGATCATCTTCCCGCCCGGCGGCAAAGTGAAATCGGAGTATTTTCTTATCTGATTTCGCGTTCTGAGGATTTTTTGATCAAGATTTGCAGTCCTCTTAATGAAGAGCTCATGAGGATGTTGTTTGAAAACGCATTTGCAAGTCCCTGATGGTAAAAATATTCTTTTGGAAATTCTGTTATTTAGTTGTTGGCAGATTATTTATTGATTTTTCGAAATAAAATCCTAATTTACCTATCTTAATTCTATACGATATATTTCAGTTTACCTCATGTTATACTTTGGAGTAATGATCATTCATACTCTTAGCATTAGTAGACTGGCTCGTATTTGTTTTTATTTTAATGGAGATCCAGTATGAATCGAGTGAATTTTATGTATCAAAATACTTCATGAAAAATGTCAAAATCTACGTATCTCTACTTTCAATTAGGTTTAAAATTATTCTCATTATACTTCATATTGAAGCTTTACCAACATTCACGGCAAATACAATATATTTTGATAATAAGAAAGAGTATGAATGACCTCAAATATAATAAATGTTTGCTTTTGACCCTTTTCCTTGATTATTTTAACTAATTATAACATTTCTTATCTAATATGTGTAGAGCTAAAAGAGTACTTTCGTTGTTGTTCATGTGTAAAAGTGGATATTGTAATTTGCGTTGGAATATATATTACTACTTTGAAAGAAGTTTCAGATTATTCTAAGTGTTGAATTGTTTAGACTTTTTTTGTTTATTTAGACTTGTTTTTGTGAGTCACCAAATCTCGGGAGCTCACATTCTCTCTGCTTCGTTTCCTTTACAATTTAAAACGGATTTAATTACCCAAAAAACATCAGATTGTCTCCTTTAGCAAATCGGGACACTGTTATATATATCTCACATTAGATACCTATGAATTCTTAGACTGGTTCACCCAAGTTGGACAGGGTCACAATTTACATCTTACTCCTCCTACATGTTTTGGTATAAAGCACCATTTTTAATTTCTTTATAGTTATTCAGGCGGCATAAAATTTACGGAAAAGGGTCAAAACTTCCCCTAGACTATTAGAGTTGGTACAGTAATGCCTTCCGTCCATCTATTTTGAAAAAATTGCCCTCACCGTTATCTTTTCGGCTCAAGAATGCCCTTACGACTAACGGTCATGTTAGATAAAAAAAATTTAATTAATTTTCACGTGTCATAACGGAAAAAAGGTCAAAACTACCCCTAGACTATTGGAGTCGGTACAATAATACCCTTCATCTCAAAAAATCTCTCCCCCCACCCCCTCCAACCTCCCCCCTCTAGCGTGTGTGCGTTCATATTTTTCTTGTTCTTCTCATCCTTTTTTTGACCTTGCACTCTATTTGAATAATCACTACAAACATCATTAAAGTTTTATTTTCAGACAACCAAAATTTTTTGTCACCAATACTTTACGTCATACAACTTTAAAAGACCCTGTTAGGCAAAAAAAAAAATTAATTAATTCCCATGTGTCATCGTCCCATTGGTCTAACTTAAGACTCACCTAAATTAAAATAAACTCACCCACATTCTAAGACCCTTTTCCTCCGTTTCTTTCTCCTCTTTCTTTTAAAAATTATTCCACCAACTAGAACTCTCATACACCCATTTTTCCCTAAGCAAACAAAACTCTCTCGTATAGTTAATCACCTTCCTCTTCCTATTTCTTTGTATATTAAATGTACACATCAATACTCCTATTTCTTTTCATCACAGAAATATCATTCATCATCAATTTTTCTTACTAAACTTTACTGCTTCATACAATAAACTCAATCAAGTGTTTATTACAGTCACATTCACCAATAAATCGTATTCTCTCATATTCTCAGGCATATGATCTCAAATATTTCTCTTGATTTAACCGTCTCTTTTTTTAAAATTGGCGGTGTTGATATAACTTGAAGAGCATCCTCGTACAATGGCTTAATTTATGGACATGGTCGGATGTTCAGACTATGGTAAGACAATGAAGAAAAAAAGATCGAGGTCCGAGCAGAGACCAAATAAATCATTGGTATAATCAAAATTGGATGCAGATTTGTCAGGAAATATACAACAAAAAATATTGCAAATGCTCAATGATCATTACTATTGGCAGAAAAATAATTTATTAAACCATAAAATCTTACAATGAAGAATTAATTTCAAAGAGTACCTGATTTCACTCAGAAAATTTCTTTAATAAAAAATATTAATTTAAAAATTAAATTAAGGCCGAAAAATCTGAGATGAAGAGGGAGATCCGTGGGTGTTGAAGGGTGAAAATCTCAGGCGGAGTAGGTTAATAAGTGGATATGGGGTGATGTTTTAATTTAAGCCAATAGAAAATTAACACATAATAAATAATAAATTTTTTTCTTAATCAAAATAGGGCTGTTAGTTTTTAGGGTATGAGTGTGCCAAAAAGTTGACGTTAGGGGCATGAATGGGTCAGATTTTTAACGGTGAGGCCAATTTTTACAAAATAGGTGGACGGAGGGTATTTTTAAACTTAAGTGAATAGTCTAGGGGCAGTTTTGGCCCTTTTTCGTAAAATTTAAAAAAGAAAAGAAAAGAAAAGAAAAAGAAATGCAACATAGTGTTGAACGATAATTTTATTTGTCCTCCTTTGCCTATTCTGATACTTCATATATACATCATTTCTTCTTGTAAATTAATAAAAAAAAAAATTGTCGGAACCCCTTTGTTTACCCTAAAAATTGAGTAACAATTAAACTTGCAATGTGATTTTAAGGATACGTGATTCCACCCAATACCAATTGATTAACTTAAAGATAAGTGATAGGAATTGATAAGAATGTAAAACAAACCAATGCGAGGATGGTGCCCTCGAGCTGATGTAGCCTCGAGCTTAGTAAAACAAGAACAATTAAAGGGCAGCAAGTTGACAAACAAAAGAACGTGAGTTAAAGAGAGAATATTATATTGCTTTGATCTTTATGAATGTAAGGTGTCTGCAAATGATGGGGACTCCCCTTTTTATACTAGACAAATCCTAATTATGGTATAATTCTATTATGGAAGTAAACCCCATGATTGGTACAAATAACCGCCCTCGATTCGATCTGTTCTGGAATTTCCGCCGTGATCTCCAATCGGTTACGGATATCTCGCTTTTTCGTTGTTACAGTTCACTTGAAGTCGGTCATACTTAGTCTCAATTGATGCTGCCTCGGTCTCGATGGACATCTCGATTCTTGAATTCGACACCTCGTCTTCGTGTTATAGCCCGATCCACTACGAGGCTGGCCCTTGATGTGGTCTCCTGGTCTCGATTAAATAGCAAAATCGAGCAAGCCCGATTTTAACCGTATACAGATAGTCCCCTCGTTTCTTAGAGTGTAATGAGAAGAAACGAACTGAGCCTTCGATTTTGTACCTCGACCAATCATGACATCATCCTCGTGATGTAAGCGACGGAACCAACTGAAGCGTCGTTTCTGCACAGTTTTCAAGATCATTAATTAGTGCTATTTGATGGTCGGCCACTAATGCCTTTGAACCTTCATATCAAATATTATAAATAGATCATCTTCATAATTTTCTCAAACTTCACTTCCAAAATCTCTTCTAATCTTCAAAGCACCTCGTCTCCCTTCAAGTTTTCCAAATCTACAAATCCCGTTCGCCAACCTTCTCTTCAAACAACAAGTTTTATCTTTTTCTTTCTCTGAACTCGTGTAAAAATGGTGAAAACATCGAAAACCGTTCCTCAGAAGGATAAAGCTCTTCTTCGTGCCGGCTGGCGATAAAACGCCAGTGGAGCCACGCATCGAAGAGTGTGTTCCTAAGTCATGCGATCTTACTTCTGACTTTAAAGTTGAGAAAACCTCGTCGGTACCCGACCGATGTGAGCCATTGTCGAGATACATATGCTCGATAACTGAAGACGATATTTAAGCAGGTGAAAAAATATGGCCATTGGGAAAACAAGGAGATGGTGATTCCGACCCCTGAAGAGGACATCACTACTTACGTAGAAGGGTTCTTAAGTATTTACAATTACCCTTTTACACTGGGTCCCGTCGATCCGATTATCCTTGACTTCTGTCGCTAGTACCGAATAACCCTACGCACAAATCCACCCCTCTTTTTGGCGCATCGTTACTTTACTTCGATTCTTCGTGAGCAAGGTCGAAGGGATGTCTTTCACCCTCGACCATCTCATTAGACTATACAACCCTCGTTTCTATCGTGGCGGATTAATAAGGCTTCAGCGCCGGGCCACTAAGGTGTTGTTCTCGAACATAGACGAGGACAAAGATCGAGGATGGATGGGCCGGTTTGTCCGAGTGAGGACTTTCGACATAATCCCGGCCGAGAAGATACCATTCCCCGAAGAATGGAACATGGAGCGTAAGTACAAACCCCACCCTTGACCTCCATTTATTGTTTCGTTCTTTTTGCTTTTTTCTCATTGATGTTCCTTCCTATGATGCAGCGGTTTCTTGGGTTCCCGGTGCAATCCCGAACCTTCAAGGCTGGGTTTGGAAACTGGCCTCGACCTCTTCATACACTGAGCGCTTGTGGAGCGATTTGGCAAGGGGCCGATGGGAGGCCAAAAATCATGGTAAACTTCTCTATCCCTGTTTGATGCTCTTCTGTGAAATGTTTCTTGTTTATTTTTACTTGATTTCCTCCCATACAGGTCTCGGAGACAAAGCTGTCATGAGGCCACCCCCACTTGGGGAGGAGGAGGCCCCGAAACCGACTAAGGATAAGAAGAGAAATAGGGGCTCGCCTTCCGATACTCCAAAGCCTAAAAAGAGCAAGGCTCGTAAGTCGAAGAAATACACTGCCGCTATGCCTGCCGACGTAGTCTAGAAACTATGAGATGAAGAAGAGGAGAAAGAAGATGCAGACTATGAGCTAGTGGCTCGAAAGAGGGTGAGCACCGAAGCTTCAAAGGCAGCTGAGCCGGTGATGGTCGAGGAGGCTCATCTTCGGACCGAGGAGATCTCGGAAGATGGTTCGACCAAAGTCCCCAAGTCAACGTAGGCTGAAGATGTCTCCCGTCGTGACGAACAATCGGCGAGTGTGCCCGTCCACCGTGATGAACAGTAGGCGGATGTGCCTGAAGGGTCCAGTTCCGAGGCCCTCCGAAAAGGAGAGAGCGACCCATGTGTCTTGCTTGGGGCAATCAACATTGATGATTCGCTACCCCTCCGTAAATTTTTAGGGGCAATTTCAAGAGTCCTAGGCTATAGAGAACCCCGACGTAGGAACGACCCACGAAGGGGATGACTTATTACGTGGCTGCTTCACGAGGGTCAATGATGTTTCCGATTTGGATGCATCGATCATTTTTGATGAGGCTCAGCGACTCCTGAACCAGGTAGACTTCATCCCCCGTTATTAGTTTTACATTTACCTTCATTTCCTTTTGCCTGATTTTCTTCCTTTCTTCATAGGTTGTGACTCTTCATCGGAAAGTATATTCCAAATCCTAACCCTAGCTGAACCGATTTGAGGTTGATCTTAAAAGGCTCATGAAGGAGAGAGATGCCCTCAAACTCTTCAGTGGGCGAAAAGAATGGGAGATCAAGGACCTTCGAACTGAACTGGCCAAAGCTCACAAAGAGCAGACTGACT